CACCAGTGTCTTTGTCCCCACAGTGAGCCAAAGTCGTCCCCCCTCCCCCCACCAGTAGGAGACCCTCCAATACCAGCAGATAGGTTTGGCCCAGGCTCTTGTGAGGTCACTGCTTTTTCCCCTGGGTCCTAGTGCACATGCGGCCTTGTGTGCACTCTCCAGGACTGGAGTTTCTGTTTCCCCCAGTCCTGTGGAATTCCTGTGATCAAATCCCACTGGCCTTCAAAGCCAGATGCTCTGGGGGCTCCTCCTCCTGAAACCAGACCCCCAGGCTGGGGAGCCTGATGTGGGGTTCAGAACTCTCACTCCTGTGGGAGAACCTCTATGATACAGTTATGTTCCAGTTGGTGGTTTGCCCACCTGGCAGGTATGGGATTTGATTTTATCGTGATTGCACAGCTCCTACTGTGCTGTTGTGGTTTCTTCTGTCTTTGGATGTAGGATCTTTTTTGGTAAGTTCCATCGTTTTTTTATTGATAGTTGTTCAGTAGTTAGTTGTGATTTTGTTGTTTTCATGAGAGGCGGTGAGCTCACGTCCTTCTACTCCGCCATCTTGTCCCCACCCACTGTATGTATCTCCAGTATTTCTTAAGGTAAAACATTTTCATAGCTAACCTTCTGAATCATGTCTTTTAAATGAAAATCAGTAGACAAATTGAGTCAAGTGGCAGTTTTTCAGAATATATATTTTAACTGGTAAAGGAGGAAAATCTCTTTGGAAATGAGAAAGAAATAGTCCATAAGTTATCTACAGATGAAAGGCAAATAGCAAGCTGCAATTTGCCCAAAGAAGTTCACACTTCCCTTCTGAGCTGAAATTTTAAAGTGTCTCAACCTGTAAAGCAACAGGATGAGACAGGAATTCACAAATAATTTTTTAATGAAAAAAAAAAAATCCTTCTATTGTACTTGCTTTGCTTTTCCCACTGAAAGTATATTTTTGCCCTTTATGATCCCTAAAGTCCAAGGCTCAGTATCCCTGTCTATATTAAAGGTCACTTAGGCTGCTGCTCAGAAGTTCTGAAGGATAAATACGTGACAGATGGATGTGTTAATTAACTACATGGTGGGAATCCTTTCACAGTGCGTACGGATATCAAATTACCACAGTGTACACTTTAAATATCTTACTTATCTGTCAATTACATCCCAATAAAGCTAAAAAAAGGAAGATCAGTGGGTGCCAAGGGTTAAGAGGGAAGAGGGGAGTGAGGGATAAAGAGGGGGAATGCAGAGGATTTTTTAGGGCAATGAAAATATTGTATAAGATACTGTAATGGTAGATACATGTCATTCTGTATTTGTCCAAACCCATGAAACGTACAACATCAAGTGTGAACCCTAATGTAAAGCGTGGGCTTCGGGTGATAACAAGGTGTCAGTGTAGGTTCATCACCTGTGACAAATGTTCCAGTCTGGTTGGGGAGGCTGTGTGTGGCCAGGGCAGGGGGTAGATGGGGTCTTTCTGTACCTTCTGCTCGATTTTACTGTGAACCTAAAACTGCTCTTAACAACTAAGTCTTTGTTTTTAAAAATTGCTACCTATACTTTAGGTATAGGTAGAGTTCTGAAGGAGGCTGATTTCCCTCCAAGAAACTCCATTTCCCTTCTACTGTTCAGTAAACGGGGCTGGCAGCAGGGGTACACGTCACTCCACTGCCTTCAGACTGCACTGGGCCAAGGATAACAAGTGTTTGTACGAATTTCCTTAAAACTCACAAATCTGTTTAATACCAACACACCAGGGAGCAAAACCATTCCTGAAAGTGGCACTAAAAATTATTTATTTTCTGCATGGAACTAGGTATTGTATTAGACACAGTGACTGCAGGTGGGCATGGGCATGAAATTTCTCTTTGATGAAAATGTTCTAAAATGAGATTGTGGTGACAACTGCACAACTCTGTAAATATAGGAACCATCACTGAATGGGTAAGTTTGATGGTATGAAAGTATACCAAAGCTTTAAAAAAATGTTTATCAGACAGAATCCATATCCTTAAGGAGGTCAGAATTTTTCAAAGCAACCCAGCAAATCTGCTACTAGACGAATTTTCATCTCATCTCCAAGGCAAATATCCTTGAAAATCAGCCCAGGATTGCCAAAGTATGGAAATGACTCGTATTTCTATCTGATATCAGCCAAGGGACCAAGAAGTCACTCAGTTGATACGTTTCTCCTTGGAGAGCGAGGTGCCGAAGGCCAGGCATTTCATTCACTTCATGTAACCTCTTCCCCGTGGAACGCTGGCAGAGACTTCACCATCATCCAAGGTGAATTAGGAGAATAAGTCACTTTTTTAAAAAAAAAATCACTACTTGCTCTTTATTCTCTGTCTGTAGGTGAATAACACACCTCGAAATTTTAAAAAATGAGAAATAGAGAAGCTTGGAATTCATAAGGAAGATCCAATCAAATAACAGTCATCAATGGTTTTTCCTTATAAAGCTCATAGTAGCACCATTATTTTACACATGGTCAAAGGCAGGCCGTTAATGACAAGTCTCATTTGACCTATAAAGGAGAGTGGTAAACTGGTCAACGAAGAGCTTGGGACGCCTTTTTAAAACCACTGTAAGATCTGGATCAATGACCTAAGAGTAGGGTGATTATTCTGGTTTTCCTGGGATGGCTCTGGTTGCCGCCTATCGTCCTGGCAGAATTATTAAGAATTCTCCTGAAGATGAGACTCACTGGCCTGGGAGCCCTGGAGGGGATCTCAACGAGCAGAATGTCTGGCACACACATGACAATCATCTGAGTGACTCGTTTTCTTAAAGACTAGTGCCTGGCCCTGGAAATTCTGATACACACGTGCCTGATGAAGAAAGTCTGATCTTGACCATCGACCTACATTTTAGAGGAGGAGAGAGCAGTAAAAGGTCACTCCCTAGTGACTTGCCTAAGTTAACTGGGGCTGGAGTTGCAAAACCAGGGCAATAACTCCAGCCTACCAATTTCTACTGTCCGCTGAGACCCTAAGTCTAACTCTCAGAAGCTCTCAGGCTCAGACCCAAGCTGTCTGGACCTAACGACCACCTCCTGGGACAGCTTTCCTCATCGATCCCCAAATCCCAGTTCCAATACATTGCCATCCACTTGTAAATTAGAGATTCCACTGGGCTGTGCAGGGCCTGACTGTTTGTTTCCATTTTGTTCTCAAGGATATTCCTTCATTTAGAATTGAGAGTTACCCTCTAAATCTGCCATCCACTGTATGAGACCTTTTCTTTAAAATCCATTTCAAAATAAAACTGTTCACAGAGCTGGGTCAAAAGCAGTTCAGTCCCTAAAGGTATCCCCTCCAGCATCTGGAAGTCTCAGGTCATGTGGCTCTGATTACCCAGGGCTTTAAAGCTGCTTGTTCATTTCAGGTATGATAAACTGGAAGAGAGAGGAGCTGATAGCATTTCTGCAGCTTGGTATAAATGTCGTTCTGTGGCAGTACAACAGAAGCCAGTGAGAAGACACTAACTCTGGCTCGGTGCCACTGTGGTTTCTTGTGCAAGTGGATATTTTAACTCCAACCTCTATCTCGTCTATTAAATGCCACGTGGCTATGGCAAAACAATAGGTTACCGTCTCTCCTGGCTCAGGAAAATCTACACCCCTGCAAAGCCTATTGCACAATTGTTTCCCTCCGTTCCAGACCCTGTTTTTTATCATATCCCTTTATCCTTACCCTATGTGTAAGAAAGGCACCAGTGTATACCAATTCAGAGAATGGTAACATTTCTGATGTTTGGTATGCTCAGGACAGGGGAATGTTCTGGTTCATATTTAGTTACTGGGTAATCCTAAGAAGCATTTCAAGGTTTCACAATGTCATAGGGTCATATATTAGTGATAAGTTAACCTTAAAAAGCATTCTGAATAGAAGAGCATGAGAAAAGACTTTCCCTTGGGTGTTCAGTGACATTTTGCAGCAAAGACGGATTAGGGATGTTCTGTCTAATGAGTCACCCAGTTTGGAGAAAAGGGACAGCTGCTAATGAATGAGAAATCCCCAGCAGACCCTTGCTCTGCAGACAGCATATCAAGGGCAGGAAAGCTGATACTTGGAGGGTCGGAGACATAAGTTCCTATCACACAGACTCTCAGGAATGCAGCCTGACAGCAAGTTTCTCAAGAGGCCGTTAACAGGTCACCGTCCTCAAATACGAACTTTCCAACATCCCTATACAAAGCTTAGATATGGAAAAAATATTCTATGTGGTCAACTAGGAAGAAAAATGCTTGAAGTCTCCTTCATGAATACTTTGTTGATATCACCCAGAAGACCAGGGACTACTTACTGCTTTTCAAGATTTGCAGTAGAAAGGTATTTCATCTCAGTCTAAAGTGGCCTGTTCAGTTCTTAACACTACAGAAGAAACCAAACAGATGAGTTTAACCTAAGTTTATCATCTGAGTTTAATGCTAAGCTAACCTTGTATCCAAAAGTTAGTTCACACAGGTACATTCTGTGTCTTTAAGTCCATTTTGGGGAAGGTGGGAAAAAACCACACAGCTTCTGATTGTCGAGGACTGATAGAGAATCAGAGACCCACAAGAAAAAAGGATCTGCTACAGATTTTCTGCCAGCTTTTCTTATTTAATGAGCCCTCGCTGTTTTCTAAAATGAGGGCCCACTTCATACTACAATGACAGAATTATGACTCTCTATCAAAAAATAAAATCGCTCTTTTTGGTTGCATATACCTGCAAATATACTAAAAAAACAATGAATCATACACTTTAAACAAGTGAGCTGTATAATATGTGAACAAAATCTCAAAAAAGCTGTTTTAAAATGTTCTTTTATCAGCAAAAGTCAAAAAAAAAAATCACAAATAACAAAAAATGAAAGTTCCTAGTTTGTTGTATAAGCCATAGTTTTGCTGTTGCCCAGATAACTAGGTCTGCCCTGGGGGAGCATTTCCAGGTTTGATGAAAGGTACTTTAACCTGGATTTTTGTTCTCAGGAGTGAGGGACAGGGGCTGCGGGTTCAGAACTCACTTGGAACATGGGCTGATCACAGTCGGTGTGGGTGGGTAAACCAAGGCAACATTCACTCGCTCGCTGCCATTCTTGGGGCAAATGATCTCTGCCACGCCCTCTGGTCTGGGCTGACTCAGCAACTCCCCTGCAGGAGAGAGAAACATGCATTAGTGAGATTTGCCTTCAAAAATGAGGCCACCTTAGAGAGGGGGTAGAGGAAGCAGGGAGCAGGGCAGGTAGTGAGGACGACGGGAAGGGTCTGCAGACAGTGGAATCAGAGAACAAATGTGCAACCAGAGCAGAACTGGCTCTGCTCTCACTGGCTCATCTGCATCACTGTGGAGAACATTCTAATGGTGATGGCAGGAAGGCTGCCGTTCCGGACAAAGACAGCATCTGCCACTCTTTTCCTCACCTTCCTTTCCCCAGATGGGCTCCAGAGATCTTTATCTAGACGTCACCAGGATCCCTCGAGCCCGGAGAAGCAGGGCTGCCAAGGAGGTGTTCGTAATGAGGATGGGGGCAGATGGAATTCACAGCAGCCTTGCAACAAAGCCCCGTATTAATGATCTGGAAATGCAGCTGACTAAAGGTGTGTTATCAAGGTAAACAGGCTGGTTCATGCTGGCAAGAGGATTTCCTGGGTAGGTATGTGTGCGGATTTGTAAAGGACCAACACAATGCTCTCTTATGAGTAATGGGAGCTAGTAAGTCACCCCAAAGGATACCTGCGTACTCTGCCTGCCCCAGATACGATCTCTCCAACCAGATCATCAAATCCCCAAGAGCAGTGATGCCTTCCGTTTCTTGCTTTCCTCCCCACTGTCCGCTTACCCAGTAGCACCCTCTGCCCTTTCTCTGTTTTCATGGCCAGCTCTTGCTCAGAAAATTCAAAAAACAGCTTTTGGTGGACAATGGTGCATTATTGCCTAAATTCCCCTACTTATACCTAGAAAGTAAATAAATGAAACCAAAACATCTGCCAACTGGGGAAAGATGCTACTGGAAATAAAACATCAACAGCCATCACTTGTATTACTGATTTGAAATTCTGGGGACCCCAAAGTATATGCCATTCATGTGAGGATACAAAAAAATCCTTTGACTGAAAATGCCGTGTATCTAAACATCTCACCTTCAGCGAACTCACATTGATAGAGCATGCCCATGTGCCAGCACTGAATGGACAGCTTTAAATGTACATCTCATTTCATCTTTACAATGTTACTATAAGGTTTATCCTCACTTTGCAAATGAGGAAGCTAACGTTCAGGGAGGTTATGTGATGTACCCAGAGTCAAGGCTAGCAAGGGGCAGACTCGGGCTGTGACCTTGGGAACCCATCTCTGGGGCCCTTACCTTTTGCTGCCACCCTCTGATACCCGTCCCCCCAAAGTGGGGACTGCTTCTTTACTCCAGAACACATCTCTCCTAGAAAAGTAATCCAAAAATGCTATTATTCAGTAATGAACTAACCATTGACATCTTTGTACTTTTACGAAAGACAGCTGTTTCCTGGTTTGAACGATTTTATATGGCTTTGCAGAATACAAACCAAATGTAATTTGAGTTCCTTAACCAAACTAATGTAAACACCGAATGACTGCAAAAGTTAATTTAGCATCATTAGCTTGTATCATGAATACACGGGTATCAGAATTCTGCTCTAACACCAGCTAGGAAAAGATCTCAAAATATAAAAAGGCAAATTAAAAACGTAAACATTAAATGCTCTCGAAGTCACAAAATGAACCAAAGTAAGAGCATGTTGCACCAGACTGAGACTTGGAAGTCATCCAGTCCAAATACCACTTTACAAGTCAGAAGGTCTCTGAGTTTAACAGATTTGCTCGGAGTCCCACAGAGAGCTTTAAACCCACCGCCTACCATGGGGCTAGAACTGCACCAAGAGAATGCTCTGAACCACCCAGGCCTGTTAACACCCCCAGTCCGGACCGCCCTCCACTGCTTCCTCACCTGATACTTTCAGTTTCTACTTTCTGTCCCAAGATTACCCCCAAGGCTTGAACCCAGACTGGGAATCTCTGGCTTCCCCCAAGAACTCTCTCCTGGTGGCAATTTCACACAGGCCTCTGCTCCTCCTTCCTGCAAGTGCCTGAGGGCCCAGGATAACAAATGTAGATGTCAAGCCGCGACCCCAGGCTCCCGTTCCTGCACCGCTGGCTTCCTTGCTGGGAATAGTGTAGGTTTTGCCAGAGAACCGGAAATAATTTACAGTTGACTATTAAGCATTGGCTATCAATTTCTATTAAACCAAGAGCTTTAGTGCCCCCCACCCTGCCCCAGATGCCCAGAATCACCCAGGTCCAGGGAACTGGTTTTGTGTGGGCCGTACCCCTAGCAGCACTGCCAGCCACTGAAACAGCAGGAAAGTCGAAGGCACTGAGAAATTTCATGCATACGAAAAATTCACTTGGTGCTGTGCAGATGAGCAAGAAACAGAACAGTTCACGAGCTCCAAGACATGCGTGCACTCCGACAAGCTACTGCTTGGGGCCAGATTCTGAGGATTTCGGAAACGTGCCCAGTTGCTAAATTAAGAAAGTAAGAGAAACGGATTTTTCCTCTCAAAAAAAAAAAAAAAACAACAAAAAACTATCTTATCAGTAACACGAATAGTGGTTCCTAACGTGTTGGCGACTAAAATAGAAGCTAATTGGCTCCGATTTCCGTAACACAAACTTGATTTTCAAACTAAAGCACAGGCTATTGGTTGAGCACCTAATTAGGGAGATGTTACTGTGTGAGGAGCTGCAGGGATACAGCAGTCGAAAGCAAGGCCTGTGACGTGGAGGGCTTCGGCACTGGAGAAAGTCGAGTCCACAAAAAAAAGAACTATGGTACTGTGCAGTGGATGCCCCCTAGGAAGTTATGTGATGCTAGAGAACGACTGATTTCCAGGACTGGAAAAGACCTGGAAATGTGGGGAATTTAGTCATCACTAAATCAGTCATTTAGTGATGACACATCAGTCCTCACTAGCAAACGCTAATAAAAAAGATAAATTCCAAAGTTGGTGGCAGCTGCAAAAAAAATGTTATATTTATAGAAAATGTTACCAATAGAGGAAGGAGAAATATTCATGTGACCTGGTATATTTCCATTTTTAGGAATTCGCTTCAAGGAAGTGGGCCTTTCTTACAAAAATTATACAATGATTGCTCATAGCAACACTATTCATAACACAGTGAAAACTTAGTAACCCTCTCAAATATTCAACAAAGGGGAAATGATTAAAACCTATGACACAATTCAGAAGACAGAATTCTCTGTAGTCATTAAAAATTATGAGACCAATATTTCTGTGTAGAAAGTAAATTTGAAAGTATGTTCTCATTAGAAACATAAACTGATAAGGAACACAACTGGATGTGGAGTGAAATGGGTCATTCAAGATTAAATGGTCCTGAGGTTATTTGTTCATTCTTATGCTTGAATCAATTAAAAAAAAAAGGCTAAGAATGCTTCACACTGAAGGGAGATGCCAGCTTTAAATGCTGATGCTTTCTCCTCTGTTGGATATTCTCTATTCATGTGCGGTTTTTACACAGTCTTCCTGAAGTAGCAGAAACTTGGCTGGATGAACAGACCACCGCATCTACTGAGGCTGTATTAGGCCACTACACAGTCTCCCTGTGCCTATTAAAGTTATGAAAAGCTATTCTTACTTAATCACTCTGTCTCAAGATTTCTGGCATTAAAATGCTAGTGAACGCTCATTAGCTGTTTTTCCCCTGTGGAAGAATAGAACACCAAGTTTTATTACGATTTATTTTTAAACTACAGGAGATAAGTGAAATGGCTGGTCTTTTTCTGCTAATCATCAGAATTCACAAATACTGGGCACATTATGCAAAATACTAAAAATGTATCACTCTGACGACCCAAACCACGATATTAAAAGCCTAAAACATGTCTTTTCAGTACAAATAAAACCCACTTCCTGATCCAGGGTAAAGATCTGAGTTATGAACATCCCTCAAAACAGCAAAAGTGGTCTGGAAATTAAAACAAGCAATTATGTAGATTCTATTAAATAAGGAATTATCCAGATTTCTTCAAGGCCTCTTTCAGCTTGAATATTCTGAAGCTCACTCCTCCACCCCGCAAAGTTCACTGCTGTCTTTTAAGTGTGACTCTGGATGAGATGCAATGATACACAAACGCATGTTTCCCACATCCCCTCAGGGCAAAGGCAGCATCCTCAGAACCTGAGGAGCAGGAAGGCTCCCACTTTGCAAGCCCACCGAGTTATCAAAGGCAGCAAAGATGGGAGAACTCCACGGTCCCTTTTATATGAAGACGAACGCCAGACAGAGATAAAAGGACATCTTGTCTTAAAACAAAACAAAGGCCAGAAAGTATATACAAAGGAGAGGTAAACACTGTGAATGTAAGTTAGTGCAGCCACTATGGAAAACAGTATGGGAGGTTCCTCAAAAAATTAAGAATAGAACTACCATGGGATCCAGCAATTCCACTCCTGGGTATGTATCTGGGAAAAAATGAAAACACCAATTTGAAAAGATACATGCACCCCAGTGTTTACAGCAGCACTATTTACAATGGCCAAGATATGGAAGCAACCCAAGTGCCCATCAACAGACAACTGGATAATGAAGATGTGGTATATACATATAATGGAATATTACCATTTGCAGCAACATGGATGGACCTAGAGAATATTACATCTAGTGAAATAAGTCAGAGAGAGAAAAACAAATACTGTATGATACCATTTATATGTGGAATCTAAAAAATAATACAAATGTATATAGCAGAACAGAAACAGACTCGCAGAAAACAAACTAGTGGTTACCAAAGGGGAAGAGGGACAGTTTAGGAGTAGGGGATTAACAGATACAAAGTACTATACAGAAAATAGATAAGCAACAAGGATATACTGTATAGCCCAAGGAATTATAGCCATTATCTCATAATAACGTATAATGGAGTATGATCTGCAAAAATGAATCACTGTGCTGTACACCTGAAACTAACATAATACTGTAAATCAAGTACACCTGAATAAAAAATAAGAAAAATGCACCACTGTGCACACTTGAGAGTGTGAGAAAAGGGAGCAGAAGAGATCTCTCAGTACCTACTGGTTCCCACAAAACC